GCAGTACTTTGTTGTGTTGTTGTGACCATGTGTGCAGTACTTTGTTGTGTTGTTGTGACCATGTGTGCAGTACTTTGTTGTGTTGTTGTGACCATGTGTGCAGTACTTTGTTGTGTTGTGTGTCCTTGGCTCTGATCTTCTGTGGTTGTGGTTAAACTGCGTCTCGACTGAACCACAGCTGGACTTTGTCCTTTAAGGAATTCTTGAGTTATCTGGAAGTAACGCTAACAACAACAACAGCAACAACAACAACACAACAACAACAACATTAGTGTTTCCAGGTGTGATTCCAGCGTGGATCTGAAGATTTAACAGGTGTTGTTACCTGTTTGAAGTCATTACTCAACATGTTGCCCATGGCAACAGCCAACGAGGAGAAAGAAGGTCTGGACCAAGGAACCTCCTCCCAGCATCGTGTCATCAGGTCCGCTCTGCAGACACACAACAAACCTCTGATCTGCAGCAGTGATTTCAACACAAACAGGCTGCTGATCCTTCTGGGTTCCTCTGACGAACCTTGTGTGGTTTTTTCAGAGCAGGACATCCTTCTGTACCTTCAGAGAACACTTCCTACACTSACACACCAGACTCACTGGAGACTGGACCAGTTCTAGTAAGACCAGATCCTCAACACCCCAACAACCTGGACTCACTGAATCTGGACTTTGAAAAAGGTTCTGATGTGACCATTTGAGTTGTTTAAATCAGTGTTGTTTGTGTTGGATTTTGTTCAYATCTGTGTGTAGTTWATGTTGCTGTTTTGTTTACATGTATGTGTTATGTTGTGTGTTGTTTCTAGTGCTGTGTCGTACAATGACATGCTTTCACAGAAAACAAGAATGTTGTCATACATGTCAGGAGAAGCGTGTTCAGGTCTGTCCATTCTGTGTCCTTTCTTCAGCTCACAGAGAAACCCTTTAGTTGTCAGAAGGTCAGGATACGGACTACAGCCTGGACCAAACACACAAAAAACAACATGTACACTGGTCAGACTGGTTCAAGGTTGTTGGTCAGACTGGTTTAAGGATGGAGCCCGGTTGGGCACAGTCCRGAGAGGAGAYGTGGGTCCCCCTTCCCATGGGCTCACTACCTGTGGGAGGGGCCGTAGGGGTCAGGCGCATTGTGTGTTGGGCAGTGGTCGAAGGCGAGGACCTTGGCGGTCYGATCCTCGGCTACAGAAGCTGGCTGTAGGGATGTGGAATGTCACCTCTCTGTTCAAACATAAGGGTGTCCATATGTGCTCTTGGCACCAGGACACCCTAGGCCGCGGTTCGATGATCGACTTTGTTGTCGTTTCATCTGATCTGCAGCTGCATGTTTTGGACACTCGGGTGAAGAGATGGGTGGAGCTGTCAACTAACCACTACCTGGTGGTGAGTTGGCTCCGGTGGTGGGGGAGGATGCTGGTCAGACCTGGCAGACCCAAACGTATAGTGAGGGTCTGCTGGGAACGTCTGGCAGAGTCTCCCATCAGATGAAGCTTCAACTGACACCTCCGGGGGAACTTCGAACACGTTTCGTGGGAGGTGGAGGACATCGAGTCTGAGTGGGCAGGAGATCGACAGGTGGATTGGTGCTGCGTCTGCAGTGATGTGGGTGTTGTACCGGTCTGTCCTGGTGAAGAGAGCTGAGCC